ATTCTTTTTAGAGCTTTCTAGTATAGTTATTTAAAGCTATATATTTCCCTCTCCACTGCTTTAGCTGTATCCCATAAATTTTATGTGTTTCCCTTTAATTTAGTTTAAAATACTTTAGAATTTCCTTTGCAATTTTTTGGCCCAAATATCATTTAGAACTGTGTTGTTTAATTTTAAACTATTTGGGGATTTTTCTAGATATCTTTCTTGTATTGAATTCTAATATAATTCTGTACATACTCTATATGATTTCAAATCTTTTTTGAATTTTATGAAATTTGTTTAATAGCCTACTATATGATGCTTCTTTGTGATCATTTTAGGTTACTTGAAAAGAATATGTGTTCTGCTAATGTGGAGAGAACTGTCAGTTAGATCAATTCGGTTGATAATTTTGGTTGGTGTGATTTTGTTTTGACTTTACATTTTTACTGTTTTTTGTCTGCTTGTTCAATGAATTACTGAAATCAAAAACTATATAATCTGTTCCATCAGATTTTACTTCATATATTTTAAAGCTTGCTTATTACTGCATACATATTTAGGATTGCTATGTTTTCTTAATGCATTAACTCTATCATTATGAAATGTCCCTCTTTATCCCTGGTAATATTCCTTGTCTTGAAGGCTATTTGTCTGACATAAAAATAGCCATTTTGACTTTCATTGGTTATTTTTTTCATAGAATATCTTTTCCATCCATTTACTTTTAACCTATTTATGATTTAATATTGAAAGTGGGTTCGTAATAACATTTAGTTGGATCTTGGTTTTATACCCACTCTTATAATATTTGTCTTTTAATTGGAGTGCTTAGAAAATTTAATGTAGTTGAAATGTAATTGCATTTAAATTACCATCTTGGTACTTGTTTTATATTTTTCCAAAATACTCTTAATTCCTTTTTATCTTCTTTGTATGTTGTCACACAGGTTTTTAGTATTTCATTTTAGCTCCAATATTTTTGGACTTATTAGCTATACATTTTTTTTGTAGTCATTGCTCTTAGATTTACAAAACATACATTTAACTTATCATAATCTACCTTTAAATAATGTCACATCCCATTCTCCTTTGTGCTACTACTGTCATACATTTTACTTATGTTCTAAAATTATTACACATATGTGTGGTGTAGTAAATTACTTAGTGTGGCTTTTCTACCCATGTCTTTGTAAACTCCAAGGTGGGATTTGCTATAAGCAACTGAGGAGCTCTTGATTGTAAATGTTATCCACCTGAGTTATTTCTGTTGGGCATGGCACAACGCAATGTTATGGGATGCTCACTCTCAGGTGCTTAGAATTCTGTTGTTATGACTGGTTGGTTTGGCCACTCTGCCAAGCTCAAAAGGAGGCCTCCTAGAGGCAGAACTCTCTCTGGCTGCTGGTTGAGAAAGACGTGCTGCCAAAAGAGACACACACTCCTGAAAGAGACACATGCTGCTGGGAAAGAGACACATGCTGCCAGCAAAGAGACACAGGAGACGTGCATTGCTGAGTAAGACACCAAGGGACACGCACTGCTGGGAAAGAGACTGTAAGAGACTGTTGGCTGAGGGATGGTGGGCTGGAAGAGAGACTGAGTGTTTTTTCCTGAACTTGAATTGTAGCCTGGTGCTTCCCTAATAAACCTCATAATCTGTGAGTTCTGTGTGGCCACTGCAGCAAATTATCGAACCCAGGTGAGAGGTGGTGGGTGCTTTGGGAGGAACGGTTGGAGAAAGGGCTGGAGGGAGGCAGCATGTCTGGACTCTCAGGAATAGGCCTTGGGCTATTGATGGTGTTTCTGTCTTCCTCAGAGGAGGTCAGAACATGTGGTCTCCTTGTCTTTTTTGTAATATGTTATCAAATTATTTATAGGTTTACTACTCATTTTTATTATTTTTGCTTTAAAATTCAATTTGTAAGAAATTTAAAAATTGTGGGAGAAAATATGTTAAATAAATCCTAGCTAGAGCATTCACAAAAAATTACCAAAAATTTACTAAAAAATTATCAAAATTTGATTAACTCTTACCATTTCCAAAATGCCTATGGATCTACTTTATTTTAAAAATGCTTCCCAGTTATATTCAATTCATAGTAAATGTTGCAAGAAAAAAATCATGGATCAATTCTACTTAGTACAGTAAGGAACATTAAAAACTATTACCATCATCATTATCTTGACCCAAGCCATGGTGTTTTCAGTCACCTCTTATGCATATGAAAGCTGGACAATGAATACGGCAGACTGAAGAATTGGTACATTTGAATTATAGTGTTAGTGAAGAATACTGAATATACCATGGACTGCCAGAAGAACAAACAAATCTGTCTTGGAAGAAGTACAACCAGAATGCTCCTTAGAAGCAAGGAGGGTGAGACTTCATCTTGTGACTTTAGACATGTTATCAGGAGGAACCAATCCCTGGAGAATGACATCATGTTTGATAAAGTAGATGATCAGTGAAAAAGAGGAATATCCTCAGTAAGATCAATTGACATAGTGGCAGTGACAAATGGCTCAAATGAAGCAAAAAATGTAAGGATGGCATAGACCAGGTAGTATTTCTTTCTGTTGCCCATAGGGTCACTATGTGGGAACCAACTCAAGGGCATCTAACAACAACATACCTGTGGTTATAATCCCATTTGGGAATAGGTTGTCTTTGTTATGTTAATAAGACAGGTTCTGTGTAGAATGTGTCTTAAAGGAATCTCTTTTTAGACATGTTGTTGTTCTGACAGAGAAGAGATTCAACAAGCAAGAGAAAGGAGCAGAGATAGAAGAGAGATGTTAACCCACATGAAGATCATCCAGGAGCAGTAGCTCCAAACAGACAAGGAGGTACCTTTCTCTAGAGCCAGCTGAGAGAGATTGCCTTCCCTTAGAGAAAGCACCCTGAATTCAGACTCCTAACCTCCTAAACTGTGAGAAAACAAATTTCTGTTTGTTGAAGCCACCTACTAGTGGTATTCTGTTAAAGCAGCACTAGATAACTAAGATACCACATTATCAGTAATAATAAAAACCCACAATCATATATTTCAAACTATATCATTAAGATATTAATTAAATCAAAGAACAAATACAACTATAACACATATTATTCAAGATCCTTAGCTTTTCTTTTGCATAAATAAATACAAAAATATTTTATTCTATTATATAAACTTAATCTTGAAAATATTTAGAAGTGCTTAACTAGCAAGAAACTGCAAAGAAATTATAAAGCAAATACATCAGAAAAAGCTTTGCAGGAGGCTGTCAAAGAAACAAAGGAGGTAGATTTACCTCTGATCTCTGCCAAGGAAGGAATGTGATAGTTCCATTGGCGTTGGCAAAATCATCAACTATGTAATTAATGCCATCAGATTCAATCTGTGAGATGATGTAAAAAATATTCACATAATCCAGAGCTCCTCTGGTTCGCTCCACCACACATGAAATGGTGGAGCCCTCCTCTGCAATCTGAAATTGAACATAAATTATTTATCATCTGTACCAATTCAAAGCAGTTGATAAAATTACAATGCTTTCATAAAATCTCTTTATCATAAACTAAATTCTGTAACTTTTGACTTCCAAAATAAAGATTAAGATGTCCCACACATAGATTTTTTTTTACTATTAGGAAGTATTTAATCATTCATTTTCTCTCTTTCCTTTACAGGTATAAATGAAGGAAAAGAGTTACAATCAGTTAACTATGCATGCAATTCATTCATTAACACCTATATATACCTGCCACTATGCTAAATGCTATGGTTACAGATGATGAAAAAAGCACAGACCTTTCTCTGCATAAGCATAGAGTACAAAAAGGAATGAGATTGGAGGCTAGGGGGACAGGGTGGAACATGACATCAGAGAAAAATTTATAGTCATGGACATCATAAATACTCAATAGCCAACCCATGAACAACGTGAGGATTAGTGGTGCTAACTCCTGCACAGTCAAAAATAAGCATATAACTTTTGACTCCCAAAAAATTTAGCTACTAATAGTCTACTATTGACCAGAAGCCTTACCAATAATACAAACAGTTCATTAACACAGTTCTTGCTGTACATTTATTAGATTTTCACACAAAGACACTCACATATATAAATTTATCACAAAAGATAAATGCATTAAGTACCTAGCATAGTGATTATTTACTATTTATTAAGTCATAAAGGTCCTTATCCTCGTGGTCCTCACATTGAGTAGGCTGAGGAGGAAGAGGAGAGGAAGGTTGTTCTGTCTCAGCAATGGCGGAGGCAGAGGAGGAGGAGGAGGAGACGGAAGTAGGAGGGACAGGCACACTATGTGTAACTTTACAGAAATACATCATAATTTCTGTCTATTTTGCTTTTTCATGTATCTAAAAATATTTCTGTAGCATACCAATCTTTCTTCCACCATTTGCTTTAGTTTCAGTGCCCATATCATAGAAGGGTTCATGTTGTAAAAGATGTCATAAATCATCTTAATAATCAGAACACTTCTGCCAGATTGTCTAATGTCAACTTGTTTTCTGACATAACTTCTTCTACACCTTCTTCCTCATCATCTGTCACTTGTTTGGAAGCACTCATCTCCATCAAGTCGTCTTCTGTTAACTCCTCTGGTATGTTGTCTATTAGCTCCTGAATTTCTCCAAGATCCATATCTTGAAAAAATCCACATGTAAATGGACTTGTAACAGTTCAAACACATGTTGTTCAAGGATCAACTGTAGCATGAAATCATTGGTAAAATAATTTTGGGGGTGACATAAAGTGCCAAGTGGGGACAATCTGATAAATTCTTAGACAGGAACAATATTCAGATCAAGGAGAGCATTTTATGTCATTCCATGTGTGTTTATTTTTTATCTAAACATTTTTAAATAATGCTTAAAATTTTTTTGGAGCAAGAATTTGGAATATCTTTTAGAATAAGATATTCACATTCTTATATTTTATCCCTTCCTCTTCTGTTTTCTATTGGACTGATTAAGCTTTAGGAGCTCTGTGGTGTAGTGCCCAAGGCACTTCACTGCTAACCAGAAGGGTGGTGGTTCGAACCCACCAGCCACTCCTTGGAAGGATGGTTGGACAATCTACTTCCATAGAGATAACTCCTCAGAAACCCAAGGAGGGGTTGCCATGAGTCAGAACCGACTAGAAGGCAGTAAGTTTGGTTTGGTTTTTGAATGTAAAATATATTTATATATAGATATATATGTGGTTGTTATTAGTGTTATGTTGTTAGGTGTGGTCAAGTAGGCTCTGACACATAGCGACCCTATGTACAACAAAAGAAAACACTGCCTGGTCTTGCACCATACTTATAATCCTTGTTAATTTTTAGGCCATTGTTGCAGCAACTGTGTCAATCCATGCTGTTGAGTGTCTTTCCCTTTTTCTTTGACTCTCTATTTCACCAACCATGATACCCCTCTCCAGATACTGGTCCCACCCAACAACATGACCAGAGTAGGTGAAATGAAGACTGGCTATCCTCCATCTAAGGAGCATTCTGGCTGCACTTCCTCCAAGACAGATTTCTGGCAGTCCATGATATTTTCAGTATTCTTTGCCAACACCACAATTCCAAAGCATCAATTTTTCTTCAGTCTTCCTTATGTATCATCCACATTTCGCATGCATGAGTTGACTGAAAATTCCAGGGGTTGGGTTACATGCACCTTAGTTTGCAAAGTGACATCTTTGCTCTTTAACACCTTAAAGAGGTCTTTTTTTAGAAGATTTGCCCAGTGCAATATGACACCTGATTTCTTGACTGCTGCTTCCCTGTGTGTTGATTGTAGATCCAAGTAATATAAAATGCCTGACAATGTCAATCTTTTCTCTGTTTATCACAATGTTGCTTATTGGTCCAGTTGTGAGGATTTTAGTTTTCTTTATGTTGAGGTGAATTCCACACTGAAGACCATAATCTTTGATCTTCATCAGTAAGTATTTCAAGTCTTCTTCACTTTCAGTAAGCAAGGTTGTGTCATCTGTATATTGCAAGTTATTAATGAGTCTTCCTCCAATCCTGATGCTACATTCTTCTTCATACAGTACAGCTTCTCAGATTATTTTCTCAGAAGACAGAATGAATAAGTATGGTGAAAGGATACAACCCTGAATTCCATCCTTCCTGATTTTAAACCATGCAGTATCCCCTTATTCTGTTCAAACAATTGCCTCTTCGTCTTTGTACAGATTCCTCACGAGCAAAATTAAGTGCTCTGGAATTCTCATTCTTCTCAATATTATCCATAATTTATTATGATCCATACAGTCAAATGCATTTACATAGTCAATAAAACACAGGTAAACACCTTATTTTGCTTTCAGGCAAGATCCATCTGACATCAGCAATAATATCTATCACTGCACATCCTCTTCTGAATCCAGCTTGCATTTCTGCAAAGTCCCAGTCAATATACTGCTACCACCATTTTGGAATTATCTTCAGCAAGATTTTACTTACATATGACATGAATGATGTTGTTTGATAATTTCCACATTCTGTTGAATCACCTTTCTTTGGAATGGGCATAAATATAGATCTCTTTCAGTAGGTTGGCCAAATACCTGTCTTTCTAATTTCCTAGCATAAATGAGTGAATGCTTCTAGCTTTCCATCTGTTTGGTGAAACATCTCAATGGGTATTCTGCCAGCTCCTGGAGTCTTGTTTTTTGCCAATTCCTTCACTATAGCTCAGACTTCAATATTATTGGTGCTTCATCCTATGCTACCTCCTGAAATTGTTGAACTTTGGGCAATTCTTTTTGTACAGTGATTCTGTGTATTCTTTCCATCTTCTTTTGATACTTCCTGCATCATTCATTCAATATTTTGCCCATAGAATCTTTCAATATTGCAACTTAAGGCTTGAATTTTTTTTTCTTTATTTTTTTCAGTTTGAGAAATGGTGATCATGTTCTTCTCTTTTTGTTTCTAATAGGTTTTTTTACATTTCATTGTAATACTTTACTTTGTCTTCTTGAGGTACCATTTGAAATCTTCTGGTCAGCTCTTTTACTTCATTATTTCTTCTATTCACTTTAGCTACTCTCCATTCAATAGAAACTTTCAATAAGAGTTTCCTCTGACATTCCATTTTAGTCTTTTCTTCCTTTCCTGTCTCTTTAATGACCTTTTGTTTTCTTCATATATGATGTTCTTAATGTCATCCCACAGCTTGTCTGTCTTCAGTCACTGGTGTTCAATGTGTCTAATCTAATCTTGAGATGGTCTCTAAATTCAGTTGAGATATAAGCAAGGTTGAATTTTGGATCTCATGGACTTGTTTTAAATTTTTTTAGCTTTAACTTGAACTTGCATATGAGTAATTGATGGTCTCTTCCACAGTCAGCTCCTTATTTTGCCTTGCTTTGCCAGAAGATATTGAGCTTCTCTATTACCTCTTTCCACAGATGTAGTCAATCTGATTCTTGTGTACTCCATCTGGTGAGGTCCATGTATATATACATCATTTATGTTGTTGAATGAAAGTATTTGCAATGAAAAAGTTGTTGGTCTTGCAAAATTGTAGCATGAGTTCTCCATCACTTCTATCGCCAAGGCCGTATTTTCTAAGTACCAATGCTGCTTTTTTTGCTTCCAAGTTCTGCATTCCAATTACCAGTAATAATCAATACATCTTGATTGCATGTTTTGTCAATTTCAGACTGCAAAAGTTGTTAAAAATCTTCAAATTCTTCATCTTTGGCTTTGATGGCTGGTGTTAAATTTGAATAATAGTAGTAGTAACTGGTCTTCCAGCATCACAGCAACACAAAAGCCACCATAGTAGGACAAACTGACAAATGAGTAGTGGGACTTAAGACACAGAGAATAAATATTTAGAACCATTTTTCTATGATTAAAATACTTGTGTAGCTGCAAATATATCTATGAATGTAGACTATACAAGGGACAAAGTTATGAAAACTTCATAGCTGTAACTAAACACCTTGAAAGAGTGAGTTTCTGGGCCTGGGGGCTCAGGACTATAGTCTCAGGGCACATCAAGGTCAATTGGCACAGGATAGCCCACAGAGAGAATGTTCTAAATCCTACTTTGGTAAGCAGCAACTGGGTCTTAAAATCTGGAACAAAGGAGAGTGAAGAAAATCAAAGATGCAAGGAAACAATTAGTCCAAAGGACTAATGAACAAAAGCAAACCCCAGCATCCATGACCCTGAGATCGGAAGAAGTAGATGGTGCCCCACTACCAACTGCTCTGAAAGGAATCACATAGGAGGTCCTGGAGAGAGTGGAAGACACTTGTAGAATAAAGCTCAAAATCATGAGAAAGACCAGTCTTACTGGCCTGGTAGAGATGGGTTAGATTCCTCAAGACTATGGCCCTTAGAAACTCTTCAAGCCTGGAACTGCACTCACCCCTGTGGCTCAACTTTCAGCCAAACAACAGGCCTACAAGGTGAACAATAACACCAAGGAGGTACATATTCCTTGGAACAA